CAAGATAGAGGAAACCCCACAATACTCGTGGCTATCTCTATATATATATATATATATATATAAATACATACATATATATATATATAATAAAAAAAGATTGATCTTCATATGCTTAGTCCTAGAGAGTGAAGAATAAGGTTGTGGGCTGAAGAGACCATGCTTTAATTGTCGTAGTAGATGATTGGAATAGAGAAAGGAACTCTTTGTTCATGAAGAAGTGTAACGACCCGCCATGGTCTCTACACTTAGTGGAATCGCACTACTGCTAGTGAAACTAAGAGAAATATTAAGCTGGATAACTCATACATACATGTACAAATAAAAATGAAAATAACTAAGTTTCTAGTTATAAAATAGAACTCCATATATATACAGTCATCCTAAAAATAATATTCCCTAGTGTCGGTCAAGCACAAACAAAATCGTTACCCAAAATGGTAACTCTAACACGAGGATCAAAACTCCCCGTCTCGCAGCGGACACCTCAACTCCAAGCTAGCCCTGACCTGCTCCCATACCAAGTATGATCATCGCAGTTCCACCACATGGAAACAAAAGGGTAAGCTAGAGTTCAAAACCAATCATACAAGTACAGAATAAAATCTATACTACACATCATCCAACTATCAATCATGTTCATAGAGTCACACCATACACTCTATCCAACACTACTCATGCATAAAATACAATCCACCAATCATGAAGTCAAACACCACACTTCATCATATTAATAATCATGCAATAAATGCATCTCATGACAGATATCAATGCATATCAATCATCTAATGCGTCGTCACGCATACACCTAGGAGATCTTCATAACAATAGAGTTGTATAAGTGACATTCCATCCTACCAAAACCACCCCAACCGTTTTCACGCCCAATGCGCCCGCTCGGTCACAGCTAAACAGGATATATAATCCTCACTCGGGTTTACTCGGATGATGTCACTTACACAATTGGAAGTCCAGATCCACCGTCAGGTATAGCACAGCTGGGTACGGGCTTACCACGACCTTGGCATGCATTAACCAAGTCAATTGTGGAGTTCGCCCACCGACTATCCGCAAGGATCCACGCACCTTCCCGAGTACTTGGTTAAGGGAATAACCCTCGACCTCATACCCCGCTCCAACACTAGCTAAGGACTTAGAGGAGACTCACCCAACCCAGTGGCCTATCTGAGCACCACTCTCCCAAATCCAGTGGCCTCCCAGAGCACCACTCTCATATATCAGTGGCCTATCCAAGCACCACTCTCAAGAGACTCTATGTGAGCTCTTCCAGTTCAAAAATATTTTTCTTCTCCTCAAGTCCTAGGCTAGACTCATGTAATAAGGCATCACATGCAATTATGCATCACACATCATACATGGTCTGTCCACTATCATGAATCAACAATCATACACATGTCATAAGACATCACATGCAATAATGCATCATACATCATACATGATCTACCCACCATTATGATCAATAAACATACTAATATGAACATATACACATGTCATATCATATTCAAAGATTCATATGTATCATCACAAAGCATACATATGAATCACACCGCACCATACATCATATATCATACATACATGATCTAAAACTTCAACTTTAAACATGCATAAACATCAATTTAAATCAATTATTTATAAACATATTCATGCTCGGCACAGTCAGCTCGCGCCTAGCCTAACACCAACCCGAGAGCTCTAAGCTCTTCCACGCCCAGCGCACTCAACCTGGGCCCGGCCTAAATCCCAGTCAGAGAGTTCAAAACTCTCATCCAAACTAATAAACTTAGCCACATGCAAACACAAAACACAATGCATAGGCTCCATACGACTCAAAATAAACTTAAATCTCACATGCATCCAACCTATGCATCAAAATCATCAAAATCTTCCTTTTTTTCAAAACCCCAAAAAATGAGATTTTCTTCAATCCATCTATGGATTCTCAACATTCATGCATCAATTGAGTTTCTAAACTCACATGCAACCTAAACAACAAATATTCTAGCTTCTTTCACCTGAAGATTGGCTCAATGATAAGTGTCTAATTAGTTTGATGAAATTTAAATTTGAGACACTTATCTAGCACACTTTTTGTATATATTGATATAATTTTGGCAAATACATTAAGAATCAAAGAGGGGTTCTTAATTTACATTATTACATGGAGTAATCAGTTTTTGATCAGATTTTCCTCTTATTTTGTAGTTTTTGAAATCTGGAGGCAAACGGCTGAGCGCCTTGAAACGGCTAAGCGCTTTCAAGGTTAAAATCAAGTTTTTGAAATCTGGAGGTAAACGGCTGAGCGCCTTCAAGCCAGAGAGCTCAACAAATGCAGCAAAAGAGAGGCGCTCAGCCACTCTAAGGTGCTGAGCGGATTTGGCCCTGGAAGAAGGAGTGTTCTCTGCCTCTTAGGCGCTCAGCGGATATGAAGCGCCCAGTCCCTTGTGCTTGCTTAACAGTGAAGAATCTCCAAGGCGCTCAGCGGATTTGAACGGCTCAGCCCTTCAGATTACTTCATGGTGAAGAATTCTTCAAACCGCTCAGCCGTTTCAAGGCGCTGAGCGGATTCTTCTCTTTCTTGCCTACTCTGTTTTAATTCTAGCACTTATAAAAGGGCAGAGGAGAGAGAAAAAGGGGCATCACAAGCTGTAAGAAGTGAAGAACAAAGAGGAACGAGGAAACAGAGCACTTTGGAGCTCGTGGGGACGCGATTCTTCAGAGGATCTCTTTCTTCTACCTTTCATCTTGTTATTTTGTAATTTCTTGTACCATGGAGAGCTAAAGCTTTAGGTTTGGGATTAATGTAGTCATCAAACTCCTGTGTGTTCCTCTTTGATTTATATATATATCTCATCTATTACTCAATGTCAGTGATTTGTATTCTGTTCTTAATGCTTTGATAAACTGATCATTTATCTTTGATCTTAGATTTAGAATTTGGTTGGAAAACGTTTTTTGAATCTAGACTTGAGACAAATCACCTATTAGTTTTGAGAGCCAGGGATGGTCTTGAAATTAATAGTTGCAACAAGTTCTGATTCTTAATGCGGGATATTGAACTAAATGAAGTGAGGAATCATTCATTGAGTTAAATATCTCAGAATTTCTTATGCCAATGGATTAGGTTTGAATGAAAATAGAGAACTCAATGGCAATGAGTAATGGAATTATTTGATAGAATCATTAGGAATACATAGGAGGGAGATTGATGAATTTAATCCCAAACTGTTTCTCATATCTGTTTTATTAAATCTAATCTTTTGGTTACTTAAGTTTGCATTATCATTCACATCAAATTTGACCATGTGTAATTACTCAAGTTTTAAATTTACAAGTATCAATTAGTATAATAGAAATCAAAGCTTACTTCACAAGTCCCTGAGGATCGACAACCTTTTAACCATGTGTAATTACTCAAGTTTTAAATTTACAAGTATCAATTAGTATAATAGAAATCATAGATTACTTCACAAGTCCCTGAGGATTCGACAACCTTTTAATTATACTACAGAGACTTGGGTGCGCTTGCCTATAAATCCAACACTCAAAATAGCCAATAACTTAGAATAAGTAGAATTCCCCTCCGAAGCTCAACCCGGAACTTCAATCTTCCCAAAGCAAGCTTCCTAATATGAATTTCAAGAAAAGACAGAAGGCATTAGTGATCTAGAAGAGAAAAGGAATCATACAGAGAAATTTAGGAGAGAAAGGAGCTCATAGACCCAGAGTCCTTCTCTCTAAAACTTCTCTCTAAAAACTTCACTTTCTCCTCAACCACCAACCCCTATTTATAGAAGTTCAGGAGTGGCCAGAACGACTTGTTCCGAATCCAGAATGGCCCGTTCTGCACTCCCTCAACACGTACAAAAATCACATGCAGAACGGCCCATTCTGAAATCAAAACGGCCTGTTCTTGGACTCATCCAGAATGGCCCGTTCTCCATCCAGAACGGCCCGTACTCCCCTCGGAACGGCCCGTTCTCCCTCCAGAACGGCCCGTTCTCAGCTACGTTTTATAGGTCAATTCAGTAGCTTAGAACGGCTTGTTCTAGACTATTGAATCACCCATACTGGGCTTTTGGGTCTTCTGAAATAATTTGCTACGTTACAAGAAGTGTGTCAATCCATAGTACTTTAGCAATTGCTTGAGCCAAACTCCTATGTTTAGCCTCAATGCTTGATCTGAAAACTACAAGTTATTTTTTTGACCACCACAAAATTAAATCAGGTCCAAGAAAGATAGTTGCACCAAATGTTGACCTTTTGTCATCGAGGTCAACAACCTAATAAGCATCACAAAATGCGCGAAGCTAAAATGTTTGATGAATTCCAGCTACCTTGAGGTGTAGACCATGACACAGTGTACCTTTAAGGTACCTTAAAATCCTTTTTATTGCATTCCAATGACTTCCAAGAGGATGGGCCATGAATTGTCAGACCTTATTGATAGCAAAGCTTATTACATGTCTAGTTATTATAGCATATTGAAGTGCTCCAACAACTGACTTGTAAAAGGTAGAATCATTCAACATATTAGATCCATGCTTAGATAACTTGCAAGTGGAGACCATAGGGGTTGAAATAGGTTTGACTTCAAGCATGTTAGTTTTTTGTTGAAGATCATAGATGTATTTACTCTATGTGAGGAGAATGGAACCATTCTACTGGCGTGTAATCTTTATTCCCAAAAAATACTTCAACTTGCCAAGATGCTTTATAGAAAATATAACATTAAGTTGATGAATAAGTTGTTGAGTAAACTGAGAGGAACTACCTATGATGATAATATCTAACCAAATGCAAGCATACTACAAAGACACCTACTTAGATATCATACTATTACTAATGTTGGTCTCATGTTTATTTTTTAGGTCATTAGTTATGGACCTGTTTGTCATTTTTTTCTAAGTGTCTTGATTCTTTCCTTTTGAAGGACTATGATTATTTGATCGTCAGGCATATTTCTCTCTATATCCTCCTTTTAGAACATCTTTGAAGTAGAAGCTGAATGAAGTTTTGAATTATTCAATAGATTTTCTTATTTCTCTTTTTGTCTAATGTTTGTATCTAACACATGTTTATCTAATGTGACATTTTTATAATTTGTCATGTATCACACATTGACCAAATTAATTTTAAAAACTATAAACTTGGTTAGTTTGTCACATATTGTTAAATCCACCAAATTAATTTGATAAGTTGACAAAAAAAATTAACTTGTTATAACATCTAATAACTAACTCAACACTTTTTTTTGTTTGACAAAATGTTACTTTTTGTGAAAAAAAAAAAGTACTTTAACCTTACTATTATTTCAAAATATTTATTAACAATATTTAAAAGCAATAGATAAAAATTTTTTGGGCAGGTGGAGTAGTCTTTACAAGAAAAATGGTTTAGCTTCCTAAAAAATAAAAATAAAAATAAAAACAAAAAAAAATCAATGCATAATAATTAATGCAAGTGGAAAACATTTTTGAAAGAGATCTCGCCTTCGATGGCGATGGCTGACCCTACTCACTTTGCCAACAACAGCATAATCTAAAAAGAAAGAGAAAAAAGTATAAATCAGTGGCATTTTCTTATTATTGTTATTGTTGATAAAAAGAAGAAAAAGAAAATAGAGACGACTTTTTGGAGTTTCAATATCACCAACTGGACACAGGAGAGAATTAGTAATAGCATGACTAAGCCGCCTCTATTGTCAAATCCAATCACTCTCGAATTTCTATAAACCAAGATCCTCCTTTTTTCTGCTTCTGCTTCTGCAGATTAGAGAAGACGCAAGAAAATCAAAATGGGGTGTGGCAATTTGTTCTTCACGATTCTGATAACCTTCTCAGTGGCCCTGATAACATACAACATCATCATCTCAGCGAATGCCCCTCTGAAGCAAGACTTTCCAGGGCCTTCTCGCCCTTCAATTAAGGTGGATCCCCTCATCAAGATGCCACTCCACAGATCATCATCTTCTGAGGCCAAGAAGAGGCTTTTCCACACTGCGGTCACTGCCTCTGACTCTGTCTACAACACGTGGCAGTGCAGAGTAATGTACTTTTGGTACAACAAGTTCAAGGATGGGCCTGATTCTGGGATGGGTGGCTTCACTCGGATCCTTCACTCTGGGAAGCCTGACCAGTTCATGGATGAGATCCCCACCTTTGTTGCTCAGCCTCTGCCTGCTGGCATGGATCAGGTTTTGCTTCTCAATTCTCTTCTTTCTTCCACCATTCTGTTTTGTGGGTTGTGTTTCAGTGTTTCTCTACTACCACTGTGGATGTGATTGTTCACAAGTTGGAAAAAAGAGCAAATTTTGATATGGGGGGCTTCAGTTTCTGAGTGATTTGTGTAAATGTACTATTCTTGGGGGGAGGCGGGGGGTGTCTCACAATGTAAAAAGTTTTAGACTCTCATGTCTTATCCAATCCAACACATGTGAATGTTTGTATGTTGACTTTTTTTTTTTTGGTATTAATTGTTATGAAAGTCATGTGTATTGTTATAATTGATTGAGAAATTTATCAAAATTAAAATCAAGTGGTTTTTTGTTCATACGGGTGCTTGAATTTCTGAATGATTGCACTTATATTCTTTGTTGGAGATCTCATGATGTTGACTAGTGATATAGTCCGAATATTGTACATAAATAGGGGATAATCCTCAACCCATAAACATGAACTAGCTTTTGAAGTTGAGTTAGCCCCAAACTTAAACTGTAAGATAGTATCAAAGTTTATACTAGTAGTTATTATAGGGTTTATTGAGTTAGCTATTATTGAACCGCCCATGGATGTCAAGAGACTTGTAAATCTTATTGCAAAGTTTTGGACAATCCTCAAATTACAAATCAGTTTTGTAAAATTTAGTCCTTAAGTCCAAATTCGAAGATAGTATAAGATCCTATTCTAGACCCATTATTGGTGCTCCTGATTAGCCACGCTCTAAGATGGTAGCCTTGGTCACCGGGGGAGTATTGGAAAGCTTGGATAATTCTTGTATTATAAATTGATTTTATAGGGTTAAGTTAGACTTTAAGTCCAAATTATAAGAAATCTCATGCTTGAGATATCCGATATTCAGCATTAGGGAGGTCTAGTGGAGATCTGAGGACTGATATGCTCAAAATAGAATATATAAGAGACAATGTTTACCTAAGAACTAGGTTTTGTTGTTGAGTTAGGCCCAAATCAAATTATAAGATTCTTGGAGGGCAAAATAATGTTTGTTGGAAATTTAAGCATGTTTGTTTCAGATTTAAAATATGAAATGCTAGTTCCTATCATAAATGGGTTGAATAAATTAATAATGTAAGGAATAAAATCAATTTAAGTCAATGACTAGACATATAAGCAAAGTAAGGTACATCTTTAGGGATCAAAATCTATAGTTCATTCCTTATTCTTGTGGATTTACTCATCTCTACTCTATGACAGGGTTACATTGTCCTTAATAGACCATGGGCATTTGTACAGTGGCTTCAACAAGCAGATATCAAAGAAGAGTATGAGCTGTTTAACCTTAAATTTCTATATTCAAGTCTAGAATCATTTTCTCTCCCTCTTGGGATTTTGTTGACTTTTTTTAGTACTGTATATCAGTTACATATTGATGGCAGAGCCAGATCATATAATTGTCAAACCTATACCCAACTTAGCCAGAGATGGGCTAGGAGCTGCATTCCCTTTCTTTTATATTGAGCCTAAGAAGTATGAAACAGTGCTAAGGAAGTATTTCCCCGAGGAGAAGGGACCAATAACCAATATTGATCCAATTGGGAATTCACCTGTTATTGTTGGGAAGGTATCTGTCAATTAGTTTTCTGTGACAATCATAAGTACTCTTGATTTTGGGGCACTTTTTTAATTGTGTGGAGGAATGTTAGGAATCACTTAAGAAGATTGCTCCCACTTGGATGAATGTTTCCCTGGCAATGAAGAAAGATCCTGAAACCGATAAAGCTTTTGGATGGGTGCTTGAAATGTAATTTTATTGCTTTCCTTCTCTCATCCATATAATCCTTTATTAACGTTACAACAACTTGACTTTTTATGTTGTTTTTTTGTATCATTGGTTTAGGTATGCTTATGCTGTTGCATCTGCTCTTCATGGTGTTGGAAACATATTATACAAGGACTTCATGATTCAGGTTCAATAAGGTTCTCTTTTGTATTTTTTTTTTCTACTGTCCAGTATGAATAAGGTTCTCATATGCTAATATGTGATACTGTTACTCTTTAAGCTTAGAACAATATATAATATAAGAAATAGTATATTTTAGGATGTTCAGTAATGTGATACACTGAATCCCAATTAAAACAGTAGTCTTGTGCAGCCATTTAAATGAGCACTGATATCTGATAGGAATCAATCTAGATAAAAATTTCAATAAGCATTTATAAACTTAAGAGGCTAATCAAGGTTTTACAATTAAAAAGTTTTTATGAGCTAGAGGCTTATTCAAACTTGCCTTATTGAAGTTTGTTTATCCAAATCATATTTAAATAAAGAAACAATAAATTCTATGATGTCTACTTTTGAAATAAAATAAAATAAAAATTGTCCTATATAAACGTAAAACTGTTTGCATGCTTCGTTCTTGTTAATGTCTATAACACACTATGGAAATTACATTGAATAGTGCGACAATAATGCTGTATTCATTTTCCGTTTTCATTACAATTTGAAGGCTCTGGTCTAATACTTCGTTGCTTTTCATTTTTTAACATTACACTACACCTATGTAAAAGACACATTACTGAAATTTGTTTGTGTTTTTTATGCGTGTCAGCCTCCATGGGACAAAGAAATTGGCAAGACATACATAATTCACTACACTTATGGTTGTGACTATTCAATGAAGGTACTGTACTGTGCTTAAATTAAGCTTCTACACATTTTTATTCTGATGTTTTCATTGAAGAAAGGAAAAAGATGAAAAGAAGGAAAACTGATTTTACTCAATGCATGATGTAATGTATTTAGGGTGAGCTAACCTATGGAAAGATTGGAGAATGGAGGTTTGATAAAAGATCTTATGATAAAGTTGCTCCTCCAAAAAATCTGACATTGCCGCCACCCGGTGTTCCAGAAAGTGTGGTATGTTTTCACTTCTCACTGTACTATATTATTTGCTTTTTCTTTATATAGTTCTTGCCTTCTTGCCTTTCGGTAAATATTTTGGTAGACTTTTTATAAATGTGGGGTACTTTTCAAAACTACTTAGTGAAGAGTGGATGCTTTTCAACAAATTTTCACTTTTGGTCATCAACAGGGTGTCGTTGGTCACTCTTGTCACGTAATTAACTTATTTTTAGATTTTTTTAACCAAAAAATTGGCTGTAGCGTGTCAGGTGGCGTTAATATGAAAGTTGTTATTACAAAACTTAAGTTTCAAGTGTGATTAATGTTATTTTCAATCAAAGTTAAAATTTTATTTTAATAATATATATAAATATATTTTTAATAACATTTACATTAACTATAATTATATAATAAACTAAAATTTTAATTCTAAACAAAGAACAATTCTAACTATGTCCAAGTTTTATCCAAGTTGTTATATGTAACATTATTATCGTGGCTATACGCTACAGTCATTTCTATGTCGAGCCCATGTATCACTGCAGCCTATTAACATAATATTTTTTTAAGACACCTATTTTTTATTGGAGAAAGGGGCTGTTTAAGTTGCCACTATAGGCACCAGCGGCACTTTTTTTTAGTTTTAATTTTTTTAGATTTTATTGTCAATATTTTTATATTAATTCATTATTTTATTATGACTTAAATATGTTTTTAGTCTCTCAAATTTAGGGTAAATATATTTTTGGTCTCTTAAATTTAAAATTGTTATTTTTAGTCCCTGTAATTTTAAAAAATCTTATTTTAGTCCTTATATTCAAATTTTGTTAAGAAATTTATCAAATCTTATTGCATAAAATTTATCTATTGATGTCTCTATTAATGAAAATATCATATTAAATTCGGATGATATTGCATAACTGTCTTAATTAGTCACTTTCAAAAATGTTATTGGTGACCTAAGAGACTAAAATAAGATTTTTAAAAATTACAGGGACTAAAAATAATCATTTTAAATTTGAAGGACTAAAAATAAATTTATCTTAAATTTGAGGGACTAAAATTATATTTAAGCCTTTTATTATTTAAATTTTGTATTTGAATGTCACTAATGCACACTGCGACAAAATAGCAACAATTTTTTAATTTTAATTATTTTAAAAGTGTGATTCTTTAATCATTTAAAAAGAAAAGTGACATTTAGATAAATAAAAAATTTTGAATAATAAAATAATATAAAGTGTGCATTAGTGACATTCAGATTAAAATAAATAAATAATAAAATAATATAAAAATATTAAATAATTAAATTTAAAAGAAAAACATATCGCTACTAGGAGCGATTTTTTATTTTTAATGTCACCGGTGCCTTTGGGTTTGGGAGCACCTCTACCACCCCTCTACCCAATAAAGAATAGGTGTGAGCGTGTCACAACCCCCATGGCATTATTAAAAAATATTTTAATAGATTATAGCATCGATGTAAAAATTGCTTCAACTTATAGGGACTAATAGTGTCAATTTTTTATTAAAAAAATTCTAAAATAAAAAACAATTACATGATCTCGTTAACAATTAGTTTTGAAAATTGTCTCACATCTATCAAAAAACTTATGTACACGGGTTGATCGTACCTTTCAGTAGGTTTCCGAGTTTAGAAGAGTCACCTCTGGAGAACTTTCTCCCAACATTATTTGGACCAAGATTTTCAAATTCTAGATGCACACCTTAACAATTCATTTAACATTTACAGGTGACTCTCGTAAAAATGGTGAATGAGGCTACAGCAAGTATTCCAAATTGGTGGTCATAGGAGCTCTAAAAGTGGTTACAAATCGTTGGAGAATACCTTGAAGTTGAACCTATGGCCATTTCACATGGTGGAAGGAAATTAATTGTACACGTCACTGCTTTGTATTTATCTAATTCTTCGTATATAGTTGTGGCTTGCACGTGAGACAAACCTGTGGTGTGTCACGGGTGCTTTGACAGAATGCTTGCGTTCAGCTGCTGCTATTATATGATTTCTTATTAAAACTTCATTCACCTTAATTTCATTAATCCTGAAGGCATTCCCGACCTAAAAAACCGATAAGTAAAAAAGGAGAAGCTCGTTTTAAAAAGCTATAGAGCAAAATTTTAGCACCTCCATGGAGATCGCGTTGTGAATGCATTCTAAATATATACATCTCCAAATTCCAACTTTCATGAATACTCCCAAGTGGCCCACAGATAAAACGCATATCATTTACAATTACCAGTCAATTCATATAGCGCCTGCAATTTTTCGAATTGCAGTAACAAGGAATTTTTCCTTCGTCTTCGTGGTTAAAGTGGTAATCATACGTAATCTCTTCACCAGGAAATATGTCCCTCTCTGCAAAGAAGACAACCTTCAAAACCAAAAACCAAAAAGTTATTCCATCAGTATGCAAGAATATTTCAACGAATCCATATTGAACAAAAGTTAGCAAATTACCTTCTTCTCATGCCTTATAGTAATCACTTTTGCCACGCAATTTGGCTGATCATATAAATGAACATTTGTTAGAATGCTGAATTGAAGTACAAGTGGAAACAGTGGCTATAGTCAAAACACATCACATCAACTAAGACTTCAACGGTCATGGACATGTGTTATACCAACGATAGATGAAAGAATTGCTCGAGTATAGAGTTCAAATTTTATGTACGCAGCATGCATTGGCATAAAAATCGATTAGAATACGGTTCTTGCCTATTCATGCTTAGTTTTTTGGACAAAATCACCAACACTCAACATTCGTAACTTATATAATTGAAGGACACTACCCCCAGACAACTTAACAAGCTTATGCAAACGATAAGCATACACAGGCATTAATGAATGCACACTAAATTTGACAAAACTAAAAACGAAAAGAAAAACTAACAAATGTAGAGTCAAACTTAAAAGTAATATACCAGGCAGGAGTGGTTAACAAATCGAGCAATCCCCCCTTTCCTCGTGGCATCAATAATATGCTCTTTGTCTATCCTGAAGAAGTAGCAGGCACTCTTGTACTGAAGTTTCTTTCCAGATTGATATTCTTTTTCTCTTTTATCAGACACACGCAGCCCCACAATTTCACCAATATACTCAACAACCTATAGAGGTACAAGAAACACATCATATTTGCAATCATAGTGGAGAGGCATATAAACACTTGTAGACCAACATCATACCATTTCACCCCGGGAAATGAATCGTGAAGTGTAAAGACCAAGAGCGTGAATTCGGGACTTATATACAACAAGGTGTTTCCATCCCTTTGCTTGTTTGTACCGAGCATATTCCTTCTGTAGATAGTAGGACATTTGATACTCAGGACAATAAGCTTACCCAAAAATATTACAAAGCCAAGCATACAATAATAAAATAACTTGTTTTCCAAGACCTTAAGTTTAAGCTCTGCTGAAGTAAGAAGTCCAATGTCTATGGATATGCAATTTTTGTTACGAAAACTAAAAACCTGATCTTCATGACTTGAACAATGTTGAAAATATGGGGATTTAAGTAGAGCATAGAAGAGAGAAAAACGACAATGAACCATTAAATCAATATTAACTGAGATATATTACAATGTACAGCATTAACAATTGTACTAATCATAATCCTAACTAAATAAGAAACAAATTATTAGACAAATATGGTAATTAATATTAAGTAATAATGAGGAAATGGGGAAATTAATCCTAACATATCAAGCACATTGTCATATATTAAGTATTAATTGCACATCCCAAGAAAACATACTTAGATCTAATATTTCAACCAGCTACTGACCAGTAAGATTTTTAAAACTTCTATTTCATCAAAACAAATCTAATATCCATAAAATAAAATAAAATGGAGGCCATATAATACAACTTAAACATACTCGACAATCATGCTCAATATCTAAATCTGGGAATTTTGGCAGTCCCTGAGAACATAATTTCTGCCCATTAATGTGAACCCAAGCATTTAGCTGCTCCTCAGGAACAAGGCATCCACCTTGCAAGTGATTATTGTGAAAACCATCCCATCTACGGCCCTTGTAACCCTACAATAATCCAGAATAAGACATTTAATATCATTCCAAGTCAATCATCCAAAAAATTAAAATAACACTCAAATGGTCCCCCAATTCACCCTAGATCCCAAAAACACCATGAAAGAAGAAAATACCTCTGCCCTGGCACAGGTGAATTCCTTTTCTTCTTGACTGCCCATTTCATCAATATAATCATATATAGACAGACTTCTAGGTTCAATTGTATGAAGCATGCATCTTCCATAAAATCCAATCTTGTCGTCATCAATGCCTTCAGTCTCACTTTGCAATAGGTTCTGCAAAAGAAGTTGAAACGCAATTGATTTGGTAACCTAATGGATATAACACTCATTGCATGTTGTCAAATATTTATTGCCAGTAGATTTCATAATGTTTAAAATTCAATACAATATAGCTAGCTGGTAATGAAATTCTTGATAACTCATCTTACGTATCAAACCCAAGAAAAAGAAAATGCATGCCACAGTAATGCCCATTTATCATCCCATATACACTGATAACTCAATGAAATCCTACCAAAATCAAAATAACCTGCCATTTGAAAAATACTTCCCAAACCAGGAAGAGCATCTACGTGATTAACATGGGGCAAAGTTCAACATGAAAGTTAAAATTGCAATTCAACACGTAGAGGCACACAATTGTGTTCTTCACAGGAGCAATTCTGATCCAAGCTCCAAATGTTTTGATGGGATTAACAGAGGCCACAACCGCAACTCATCCAAAGCTCACTCTCAAACTCATTAGCTCCCCCAGACTTTCCTCTGACCTCTGGCTTCTAAACTAGAATTGCTTATTGCAATATATAAGGGTGTCAGATTTGCATTGGATTACATTAATTTACAAACCCCTCTAATGTTTTCTTCTATCATTCTACACCAGGATGTTGCAATTACCTCTCAAATAGCAGCTTACACTACTTTCAGACTGAAGACTTGAGTCCTTAAAAATAATAAATGGGGATTAAAGTTACCCAACTACACGTATTGCCCTTACTAGTCATAAATATATACTTTAGACAGTTTAAGAAATAGGTATATTGGACTGTTGATCAAGAATACTCCCATGAATCCCGACAACAAACTCCTGAAAAACCTTGGCAACATCCTTAGGCACAGCTAGTGGTAGGGAAGCATAGATCTCAATTTTTTTAATAATGTTTTGGTAAGAGAGATACAAGCACATTTTCCCAGAGAACAGATATCATTAGACAACCAACCTCGGATATAAAAATTGTAGTTTCTGAAATAGTTTAATTGAAGCCACTACATCAATGGCAGAAAGTTGTATAATGCAAACTCCCACCTAACAGAAAATTACCTCCTGGTGAGCACACCAAGGATGAAACTTCACAGAGCAATCAACAATCCTGCACTTTATACAAGAACCGCCTGGTCGATTGCAAATGGAACAAACCTGAGAGAAACAATGTAGTGAAAAGTAGAGCAAATACTAAATGCCACAAAATAATGTTAAAACTGTAAATTGTTGGCGTGATGTACATAAATAAGTTTGACCTTACATAAATTTGTTAAGTCAGCTTGCAGTCAAAATATGTTTCTTTGTTTTCACAGTTTACCACCATCCAATTTATTTCAACTCTATATTGCATTGTATCTAGTGTCCTGTGTTAATCCAATGGATTAAGACTTTCAACTAACTACTAAGCCCACATATAAGACCCAACAATCAATCCAAGGCTTATCCATATACACCTGAACGTGAAAATAACTAGTGTAGCAACTAGTAAATTAACCCTGAAAAAGGCACAAATTTGAGAACTTATTGGGAGGAGGGACTAGACCTTATTAATCATTGCCTTTTGTGTAACACGACAGGAAAAGGAGGAAACAAAGAAGTCCCAAGTGACTGTATTCCATAAAAGGCTTATTCAAGTTATACCCAGTGTTTTCAATTTATAAACTAGTGTGTCATCAATGTGGGAAATACAAAGATACAGTAAATATAGGGCAGTATAAAGTATACACTTTATACACATATTACCATGTAAACAGACAATAGCAATCAAACAAAATTACCAATGATGGCAGAAGGATCAGAATCCATTAAGAACAATAATATTTGTGCTACTTCAGAAATTAGTTGGCACAAAATTAGCAATGACAGATACTCACCACATCTGCTCTTGGTCGTGAAACACCAGATACATCGAAAGCACTCATGGTGTCAACATTAGGGCATCTTGTTCCAGGAGTCCAAAGCCCACAAACCATATGAATCCATTGTTTAACAGTTGGATCAAGAACTCCTGCTGTAATGCTGTTATGTACCTTGAAATTAGAAATAGAGGTCAGAGTGTGTTGTATGCAATTTGTTGATATTTGAACTTTCCCCAGATCAGTTGCTGATGTATCAACAATTTTGAGCTTCAAAACACTTTCTTGATCAACTTCTAATCTAGCTTTTGAGGATGGAAATGCAGATATTTCCTTTTTGAAAACATCATCCGAAGTTGTATGCTTAGGCATACCATCTTCCCCACCATTCCACACTTTCAGGAGGCTTTTTACAATTGTGTGACTCATTATTGCTCGAGTCATGGCTCCACCTCCATAACCACATAGGACACAAGCCTTGATGTTGGACACAACCAAAATGAAAATTATGAAAAGTGTTAAATTAATTCCTAAATAAGGAACTAAATATAAATAGCTACATACACACAGGAAGAGGAATCACAAATAGTCAGGACTAATCAATCAAAAGTTGAATGAGGTTATCTTGGGTATGGATGGAGGCAAAGAAAAAAAAGGCATTAACAAGTATAAAATTGAAGATGAGTGGCTTTATAGAAAGGGAAGCAAAAAAGAAAGTTATCCTATATCAGGACTGAAATCAAATGGAAACTTCAAAATGCTTATTGGACATACAATATTTTTTGAGTTTGTTCGACATGGCCTGCAACACCAACGAGTTTTTTTGGGCAATGTGGAAACACCATAACAAGCCTGATGCACCTAATAGACAAGGAAAAGGATATAGTATTAAACACTTACTTCATACAAAGAATATGAACAGTTCAACAATTGAATTTACTTGATTAATAACATACTCTAAGTAGACATTGACTACACTCCAACAAACAGTTGAATTTATCATTGCTTGAGCTTCGACACACACAACAGAAAGCATCTGAATTTATGGTGAATATGCTTGTGTGACCTTGAATAGAGCTGCAAGAGCAATGAGACACTTACAGTAAGAATATCGACATAAAAGAAAGAATAGGCATTCAAATGGAATACTTCTAAAACATAAAAAGCAAATAAGACTTGTGATTTGCTCACTTTCTACTTGTGCTACACAAATCAGGCTCCCTGTCTTGAACACAATTCATCATATCCATCACTTTGGTTTCTGCCATGAATTTAAAAACCTTTGTGAGGGGGCATTTCTAAGGAAATTAATTCTCTACACATACAAAACACCTATAGAAGAGACTAAGTAAAGCATGGAACCATATTTCAAATGTAGAGGGTGTGCATGTAGGCGTGTGTATATATAACAATCTATACCCACAGAACAAAATAAATAAGGTAGTATAAATTTAATAAAGCGTCGCTGATACGTCGCACTATTAGACTCCTGAAGAAGTCACAGCACAAGTAACAAGGTTTGGTAGAATAATGACAGCCAATAAAACAAACCATATTAGCCAACATCTGAAAAATCACCTTGTGGAACATCTTCATAGGATTTGGAACTCCAAGCATGAACACCAGCATTCAAGTCGAGGAATGAACAATAAACTAATTACTAAACTACTCCAAATGAGTACGTTAATAATCCATAACTCATCATTCTTGGTTTCTTTTTACTTAATTTACTAATTACTAAAAATAGATATTATTTAGAAAAGTAATCATGTAGCTTTTCTCAATTCACCTTTAGCAATGAGTTCATTAATGCTACGCTGTTTCCGAACTTCCTTGCTCTTCACCCTCAATGGAACATTAGCACTATTTCCAACACTATCAACCTGCTTAGCCTTGTCATCTTTCTTCCCTACGTAAACAACAGGTGGCTTGCCACCCCTCTCCAAATCTTCCATAGACACATCAACATTTGTTTCATTACAAATTATTGTATTTCGGGTTTTAATGCCTTCCTTAATTTCTAAACCAGGGTTCCCACTACTAGTTCCCATGCTCAATCTCTTCCATTTCTTCTTTGAGGTCAGTTTAGGTTTTCCATTTGCATGGCCCATACATCTTTTGGAATATTTAAGAACCTTGCTGAGAGAGACAATTTTTGCTGGTTTTTGCAATCCTCCAGCCAATTGCCCATTAGATATTTCACCATATTTTCCACATACTACAGGCCTTGTGATTCTATGAGCATTTCTCTTCCTGCAAGAGAATAGCCTCACATTTTCAGGTTCCTCATAGACTGTTTCTTGCATTTGAAACTGCTCAAAACAATCAGAAGTAGGATCCTTTTTTAATTTCTTTGTTCCAGAAACTCCAGGCAACGTGTGAAACTCAGCATTAGAATTTGATTCTGACTCAGAGCCAACTTTGTAACTGTGATGCTGGTTCAGATGATTCTTGCGAGAAAAAAATTTGGATGAAAATGCATAATGCCTTTGTTTGTTACAAGGTTGAACAAAAGAAGACTTGTCAGATGATTTTTGTGGGCTACACAAAGAATGCGTTTGCATTTCTTTTGACAAACTAGAAGAGGAATTAGAAATCCCAGCACCTTCACCGTTCCTTTTATGCAATAAGGAAGGGGATCCAGAAGATAATGAAGCATTTGGAATCCTCACCTCAATTCTCTTCCTCTTTTTTCCTTTGAAGCCCTTCTTGACATTTTGGGATTGATTACTTTTACATTTAGCAGAAAACAGATAATGATTTTGATTCCGTCCTTTCCTCCATATCAAGGAATCTAACAGTTTAAGATCATCAAGGAGATTGCAACATGGTTGATCGTTTAAGACTCTTGGATATTCATTTTTCAAGTAACTCCCACAAGTTGAGACAACAAACTGATCACTTCTTTCACTTTCAACCAAATCTGACGACAAGTCTTGAACAATTCCTGACCCTTCATCAACTACAAGGTTGTTGAAAAAGCCAGTGCCTACAGCATCATCAGTACAGGAATCAACTTTGTTAACCTCCACAGATGCCCGAGTAACCACAGGAACAGAGCATCCAGAAGAAACATTAGAACTTTCTTTCTTTTTTGACATATCTCCAATATCAATAGTTCTTTTGAAGCGTTTCATAGAAATATTTTCAAGTTGAACACCATCTTGTCCTTCCCAATCCAAACCAGTAGCTGTCTGATCTAAAGATGTTGCATCACAAACTGCTTTTCTGATCTTACCCGGCACATCTCTCCATTGAGGTGTATGAAAGCCAATTTTGATTGAGTCTCGGCCATCTAACTTCCCACCTTGCTCAAGGTGGAAGTGGATATTTTTGTCCTTCAACGGATCTCTACTTAAATCTGAAGCCATCTTCAACGAAGTTTCACCACTGGCATTTGCAAGTTGTTGCTTTAAGTTATAACAAACGGGTTCAATTCTGGAGAAAAAATTGCTTCTGCAACAGTTTACCCGAGCTGCACCAGGGTGCTTGCCTCCCAAACATACATTGGATGGATGCTCGGAGCATTTTTCACATGCACTTGATCTGTTATTATCTTTGTTTATTCCAAGGCTGAAACATCAAATTGATGGAGAGAAAAAGTAACAAATAATTAGATGTTTAACCCCAGTGGACGGAAAAGTTTGCAGACAATACCATAAATGGAACCCAGGTTGCTGATCTGACAAGACAGCATAAAGAATGGAAAAGGAATAAATGTTTATTAATTAAAAGCCCAAAAATTGACATGCATAAACAAAGCCCAGCAGCCTTTTTTTTCAACAGTTACCAGTTTTAGGTGTTTATCCCAGCATAAAGAAAACTGCAATACCCTATTATTGCAATAAATTATAAGTTCAAGTTCCTTTCTCATTCACTCTTCTGTCTGATTTTACCTATATATCTATATCAACGTCTCAGAAAACCAATAATTCCACATTCACTTATTCACTTATAGATAAAATGCCAAACTTTAGAAGATAACTTTCTCTAGACATTTGAAGTCAATTTAAACAATATGCTGAGGTGAAAACTATTCACTAAAGTCGCTTGTGAAGAAATTACAAGAAAAAGAACAATAGTTGCAGTATTCATCCAAAAGTGTTGAAAAAAATAACAGGCATTATAGTCAATACTGAATAATGATGCAGAGTGGTTAATCCCTAACGCCTAAAGTGCTATAGCAGGGTAGCAAATTATAGGATGGCCACTATATATAAGAAAAATACATATCATAATTAATGATACACAGTCTTAATCTAGAGACTCAATCACCACCAAACAAATGTAAAGGGAGCCACCATAAAACATGTTTGGCATTGTCTGAAAGAATGTAAATGCAAATAGGACAAATTACATGCCATATAGTATCATGTAATTACAATAAGAAAGGTTTTGAACCCTATCTAGAAAAGCAATGGTTGCTCCAGGAAGTGAGAGATGGGTTTTGGAGCTTGGACAGAGAAGCAACCTAGTTAGTCATTCTCTGAAGAAGGGTTTCGAACCCTATTTTTATTCTGATGTGGGCAAACATGAAATTTCAAAAGTTGCCTTAAAAATCTGACAGGTAGATGAAACAGAGGGCAAGACAAGAATTTAATGATCTGTTAATAACGACAATCATTTGTCTTCCATCTGGCTAGTGATTCAGGCCACAATCACCACTCTACACAAGTGAAATGCAATGCAACCTCTGTTACATTCAGTCTACAGTACACACTATTGTGTCACCAAAGCACACTAATAACTATTTTGATGATAGGTGAAAATCCATCATTAAATTAAGATGAACTGTCCTTGACTGTGGATAATGGATACAGAATACATGAAATGCAAAATATAACACTGCTATTCTCATTAATATGAACTGATCCTTGCCCTAAAACACATAATCTCATACCACGAGTTAAGTCACCTAGTTGTATGAACTTTGTCAGTTTATTTATTTCCCACGAAACAAAACAAGCACATAAACATATTCTGCACACAACCGTAAGCTAGGCCTCTCAATTTAAAACAGCCAAGATTCTGCTCCACAAAGTCAATGATATATCCTAGATTAAGCCAATGGGTGGTGTTTCTTCCCAAGAAGATTTAAAACATCCTGCAATTCTTCATTGATGTCCTTCTAGCAAAGCCATTGAATTAATTACCCAACCCCAAAAACCCTCGCATATTTAACTCAACAAGTTTAAAATCATTTGCTTGTAGGAAAGGTTCAGGTTTAATGAGATCATTGGTTTATAACAGGACAGGTTTCTTCTGAGTAATTCAACAAGATGCCTTTCTCTCCCTCCAATTTATCTCATTTCTCACTATCAATCCCATCTCATTCAGCCTACCACATCTGAGATTTACCGTGTATGAGTAAACAACTTCTTAAGCACTTATTTAATAAGTTTTTACCACGTGAAAGCTTATTTCCTAAATTTGACCATCTAACTTATCAAAAAAAGTAAGCAAAATCCAATTTATTTCACAAGCTTCACCAGGAAGCCTATTGAATAAACTAAAAAGAACTTATAGGGATCACAACCTATTTTCATAAGCCCAAATAAGCTCCATATAAGTTCTCCCAAATGGCCCCTCATCATCTTCTATCACATCTTTCTAGAGCTAAATAAACAGCAATAACCCTTACCTAATAATAGAATTGGATTGGGAGGGGGAGGATATTCAATAAGATGCCAAAATTATAAGTTGCAAACTGAACATACTGGCTGATTTTAAAATCAAAGCAAAAGATTACTTTCCAGAAAGATACAACACAAATATCCTAGTGGCATTAACATGATAGTTGTGTGCAATCACCTTAAAGAAGGCTCTTTATTTTGAAGATCATAGGAATGTTTACATTGCGATTCCTTTTCTTTAGAATGTAAAGGTATTGGTGCCAGGCCAGACAAATCACAATACATGTTCATACCTGTAAGAAGGACAATCAATTAACCGTGCATGCTACAAAAAAAAAAAAAAATATATATATATATATATATATAAAGTTGAAATTTCACAATCTGCAAAATCAAAATCTAAAAACACCGGTAAAAATTGGGGAAAATAAAAAATACATTGTGCTTGCCTGTGAGGGAAGCCAGTTTCTCTAAACCAACACTACTCTCAAGATTCCCACAAATCCCTCTATTTTGGGTCAATTTCAATGTTGCGCCAGAAGTGTCCTGTTCAGATGTTGAAGTCTCATACATATAATGCTGAACATTTGAAATACTGCTTGGTCTCCCTTGCTTTTGATTCATATTATTAAAATACAATGCATGTTGTTGCTTAGATAACTCTAGTACCTGTGCCAATGTAAGCAACCTCGTGTTTTCATCAAGCAAATGAGCATCCATATTAATGCCCTGCTGCTGTGGCAAAGTAGGAGTCTGATTTGACACAGAACTTGAAACATGCTCGGGAAGGCCTTTCAAAATCCCTTCAAATGGAATGGATGTCTGTGGAGTCACATGTTTTTCTCGACCAAAAGCAGATACATTGTTTGAATGATGCAAAATATTTGCACCAGTAGATAAATATGATGGCAAGCTTGATTCAATTATCTTTGTATTAACAACTGAAATACAGTTATCACTGCCACCTACAGCTCTTGTGATGGAGCTTGGATAGTCCATTAACTGACCAATTCCAAATCCAGAATTCATTTTGGCACAAGAGTCTTTCGGAAAGCTTGCCCATTTATCATTGTGTAAATATCTATTGGTCCCTAAACCACAATTATTCGATTGCCTTCCTGCGTGACCATTACAATTCCAGGGAACATTAGTAAAACCAAACTGTTTGCTACTAAAATCAGAATACAGTTTCTTGGGCATGATAGGGTTGTCATCATTACCCAAATTTTCACTAGCTTTTGTCTTTCCCCTGGGTTGATTATCAAATTGTGAGAATGATGAAAATGATAAACCCTTGGCCACACTATTAGTTTCTGATCTAGCTCTAACAGCACCTGGAGCATTACTAACAGCAGACATAGAGTTCCTGAGTTTAAGCTGAGGCATTTCTTCAACCATTTTGAACGAATCAGCAACATAGCTAAAATTATTCTGTAATTCCTCCACCCTGCTGAGGTCTGCATCTAATGTACAAAGTACATTGTCAAGAGGTTTCTTTAAAATGAAACAAAAGGAGTAAACACTGAATAAATAAACAATAGATACAATAAACACTCAAACAATCAGCTAAAATACAAAACATTGATTCAACGCACTATTAATTATCTGCTTCAAAGGTTGCAATTTTGGAGGACTGGCAACAGCATTAAACAGCAGTGGTTCTATAAATGATGGAAGTGGATTTCCCGTCTGAGGTGGTTGACCAAGCCTAAGATGAGCATTGGAGGAAGCTGCATCTCTGCCTACAAGACCATCCTTTGCACTCTGCTTTTTGATGCAATCATGGTCTTTCAAAAGGCTTGTTGGAGTTTCCAATGAAGAGTAGGCAGTTGACCAAATTCCTTTCCTTTTTAGAGAATCAAAGAAAGTAGGTATAGGCTGACAATCATTATCCAGTTGAGTTCCAACAAAGTTTGGTGCAGTTGTACACATAGCCAAATTAGATTCCATTAACTGGTTTTTCAACTGATCATACAAGCTGTTTTGTGAAATACCAGTGAAACCTTTGAGTGGAATGTTGCAATCATCCTGGATTGTTGTCGCTTGTTTTCTGGACAATGCACCAATAAATAAATTGTGGTCCGTATGAACATTTTTTGGAAACATAACATAGTCAGAATACTTTCCAGACCTTAACATGACTGCAGATGAACTCAACATATGAGACAAATTAGTCTTGGACATATCAAACGCAGATGCATTGGATTTCATCAGACTGCCTGTTGTTGATAATACTTCTGGCCAGTCCCACTCATTCTCATTTCCCAGAGACCTAATCTAAAGCATCATAAAAGTATCACCACCCAATGTTCTCGTTGCTTCAAACACATGCAACTAAGAGATTCATCTCTCAATGCCAACAACAATAAAAGGACAGATAAAATGAATGTACGTATTTATCAAAATTTGCTGAGTTTAAAATATGGTTTTATTCTAATATTAACTAGAGCTCCAAATAAATGTCACTGTGCAGAACAATAAGTACAACAATGCCCTAATGAACAAATAACTGATGAATTAAATCATTATATGAACAAACTAATAAGAATAGCATATTTGGATTGTCTGGTGTCTAAAGTCAAGTTTCTAAAGTTATTATTGTTACTATGTAGTTGCTATTTTACCCCATATAACAATGTACTTGAACTAAGCACATCAATGTTCTGAAAATAGGAATGACTGAATCAGAAATGTAGTTCATGGGTTGGTGGATGGTCTCTAAATGAGTCAAACAGGACTTTAAAAAAATGTTTGGCAAAAATATATATATTAAAAATTATCAGAAACTATATAAAAAAATGCAATCTAAGTTATACCTTTTAAATAAATAAATGCAACTTGTAAGTGACATTTACATAAAAATATAAATTTAAAACTTATTTTGTTTTATAAAATGATATTTTTCTGATTCATGTTTACAGCAAGTCATTCATGAGTTCATATAAATATTAAATTAAAGATGTGCTAAATACTTGATTTTCTTTTTTATTCACATTCATGTTATCTATCAGAAAGTTGGGTGCAAGGTATAATAGTTTGTAGCAAAGGAAAAGTTTGGCTTTTGGTGTGCTTCCTTGCCCATCAATGTTAGACAATGAGCGCATGGTAAAACATCTATTTTCATTTTCATGTGATTCATTGGTATGTTGGCAGAATTCAAGAACAAGTAGCACATATATTTCATTTCTTGCATGTCATTGGCAAATTATGGCTATGTCTGTGCAATAATGTTTTGGCTTACATACTGCCACACCATTGCACCAAGAACCACCAATTTCAATAATAAAATATGCTCATTTATCCCTGTTCCAATAAGTTTTCACGCCACAACCAAACCAAACATGTGGGCAGTTAAAAGGTTTTCTGGTCAAACTTGCCAGTCTGGTCTAGATCTCAATACCATGGCAATCATAGTTCTTTGCATTAATTTAACATCCCATCAAAGGTTATGAACAAAAATAAAGATTACTACACCAATTAGAGAATTTTATCAGTGTGTTTGGTTCAAACGAGGGAAGGGGAGAGCAGGGAATTGAGAGGTCTTCGTGTTTAGTATGATTCAAGAGAAGGTGAGGGAAAGCGAGGGATATGTTACTTTGTTTGATTTGCAAGAGAAGGGAAGGAATAAATAGATAATATACATTTAAATCCTTAGAAGTAAATACAAAGGGAGAAGATGAGAAAAAAATAAAATATCGAGGCAATTTAATTTGGACAGACCAAAAAATTATAAATTACTCTCCCTTCTTTACAAATTCTTCCAATATTGGAGGGAAGAAAAAAATAGGAAAGGCATAATTTTAGCTCCCTCATGCCCCCTCTTCCCCTCCAAATATTAAAACCCAACAAGGAAAAAAAATTTAAAAAAATCCCTCCCTCCTCTTCATTTCCCTCCAACCAAACACACTGAAAACAATAAACATAAGTTTTGAATAGTTAGAAACTTTCCATTTGGGAGAAAGCTTCAAATAAGTAAATAAAATCTTAGGGACCAGAACAAATGGCATTCCCAAATCCTTTAAAAACTTGAAACAATGCAAAAGATTCATTAGAAGACATTTGAAACCCTCGTAAGTCATTATTGACTAGGGGGGATAAATAAGCAGCACCATAGAAAGATATTTTTTCCTAGGAGTTGATAAATTCCCAATGGAATAATAAGTTAAAGATCCAGCAGGAACACTCATCTCGAGAAGCCCACGGCCACACACAAAAACAATATGTATATGAAACATCAACCAAAAAATTGCATGAAAGCTACACTACATCTTACCCCAAATCTCAAGAAGTATAGCTTCTTCCATTGAGAAATGGTCTCCCCACTTTCCACATAGACAGCATCCCCTGGGTCAACTCCATGTAATCCTGAATGCTGCAATATTAGACAGACAAACCATTAAGCACTTACTGTGCAGAACATGTGAAGTTAATCATTCAACAAGGGTGTGGCTAATCATTGCTAGAGTAGAACCAGTTTTGACAGAACTTACCTCACAAAACTTACGAACAGACATGTGACAACAATGGCATGAGCAAACAATACCAAGAAGCCCTGTATTGCTAAGAAGAAGATGGCCACCTTTAAATTGACAATAGAAATATGAGTCGTCAATATATGTACCAAGGATAAACCTTAACTAAAAGGAAAATATATAATTCTTCTAGCACTCACTCACTTTTCCCCATGCAGAACACACGAGGACAACCACTCATAAAGGAAGTCGACTTAGATGAAAGTTCTAAAGCCATGTTTGGTGTAGTTTGCATATCTGAGCAGCAAACATTTAGACTAGATGCAGGGGTTGTACCTAGGCATTGACCTGGAGAAGAAAAAGACTCCCTTGATTTCTCATCACCAGGAACTGTGGGCTGAGTAGCAGTATTGCTACTCTGAATATCATGGAAGACAAAATTACTACTATTATTCAGACCAACCATTCCCCTGGACGAAAGCCCAGAATAAGTGTTCACACAACTTTGCAGGTTATGGTTAATTAAATTTTCTGTTATCAACCCCAGACCAGACGTTCGGAAGGTTCCCCTTTCTATAGAAGGAACAACAGAATTCCCAATAGCAGCAGTACAATCACCAGATGAGATGCAAAGTTTGCGATCAGACAAATCCTGGAAGTCATATTGTAACAAGGATGGAGGACTATAAAGGAGAGCCAGAAATGAATTTCCACTATCATCTTCGCCTGATCCATGGGTGGTTGAGTGAGGAAAGCTTGGGTATACAGGGCCCTGCTTCCCTTCAACAAATTTTGATCTTAAACCATGAGCAACTTGTGGATAAAGACAATAGCTTGCATTCATCTCCTTCTAGAGGAAAAAGCAAGAGAAAGGGAGTTAAAAAATAGTAAGAGTACTAATAAAACACATTGATCTCAAGTGAAACATGAAACATATTCTAAAAGATCAAGTGCTATATAAAAGGTGTAGAATTCATACATGCACAGCTGGAGACTATAAGGCACAGATACAATATGTGATATGGATGCAATAACAACAGAGATGCAGGAGTACTGTAAATTAAAAATAAAAAAATAGAACATTAATAACTAAAATACAAAATATGTAAGTATAAAATTAAACATAAACACAAACCTTAAATCAAAAGAGAGAATCACAGTTTAGAAGTGAGCATTAGGGCATTAGTTGTTGTAGTATTGCCACTTATCTATAATAATACTATAAAAGTTCAAAAATAAAAGCAGAAAAAAAATGTAAATGCATCTATGATTATTCAAAATGTCCAACACAGGTAAGCCACTATTTCGAAGTGTTCATACTCCATTGGTTGCAGATGAAGAGGAGACTGCTAATCCAAAAGAATCTTGAAGATACTATTTCCTTATCACATGGCCAGTGATTACCACTACTAGTCAGAAGCAGCCACCACATAAAACAAATTTAAACCATAGGCCGCCTGAATCATTCACAATTACTGTGTAAGGAGCAGTCATGAGACCCAAAACAAACCAATTTATTAATAGCATTTACGTAAGTTGAATGAAAATCTATTGCTCTAAAAGAGGTTATACAACTTCAAATTTCAAACAAGATGTAAACCCCTTCTGCTCATCAGTTCATCACCAATGTCATAAATTTCCAATAACAGATGGCAAATACTATTTCTCCATTTTCAGCACCAATATTATTATAAATAAAATAAAAAAAAATAAAATAAAAAGTTTAATTATGCTTTCAATCCTCTAGTATTACAATTATACGATTTTGGTCTCTAAGATTCAAATTGAACAAGTCCCTCGTGTATCACAATTGTGAGATTTTCATTCATGTATTAAATGATATACATTTATCATTACTAAAATTACTAGTATATGTAATTTAAACAGATCAAAATTAGTATAACTGATCTTGAGAGACTAAAATCATACAATTGCAATAATTAGGAGACTAAAATTGCTCCATTAAAAATTGAAAGACTAAAATTACACAATTGCAATACCTGATGAACTAAAATTAAAATTTGAGACACTAAAATTGCGCAACTGTTATCCTCATGGACCAATGCATTTAAGCCTTAAAAAGAATTAAGTACAATAGCATAATTCCAAACATAAGTTCTCTTATAACATTTAATTCTTAAACTCAAAGCTAGAAACCTGCAGAGCCAGATCAGATACATAATTTCCAAAGAAAGAGGCTTTACCACTTCCCAAGGACTGTTTTAGGACGATAATATTACTAAAATTAGTGTACTGGATCAAACTACTGCAGTATCTCAACTTAAATTTCATTACAAAAATCAGCAAATAATTAATCACTATTACACATGAATTACCACTTACTAATTCAAAAAAAGTATATGCATGCAAACATAGACACATTCCGAGTACATTTGATGGAGGCCCATGGGCCAAGGGCCCAACTACTAAGGCTATGGCCAAGAGGATACATGAAGAATGGGTCAGTGCTAAAGAAAAGCCCATAGTTCTTTTTAGTTGGGCTATAACATAAAGCCCATGTAGATTAGGTTTGGGCCCAATGGGCTTGTATTTGTTTTTGGGCCTTGTATTTTGGCCAAGTAGTCTAGGAATTTCATTTCATTGTAATTTGAATTTAGGTTAAAGAGAAGTTTCATGTGCATCTCAATTTAAATTACATTTAGAGAGCATTTCGGCCATGTGCACTCATGCACATGGGGTGACCGAAATTTACTCTCAAATGCATGCTAAATAACATTCAAATTGAGTAGCACATGGGGGGTGACCGGTTTGGCACCAAAATTTGAATTTAAACATTCAAATTTTGGCGCCTAAAGTTAGTTAAACCATACCATGGTTTAACTTAACCTTAGGTCAAGTCTAGCTTGTCACACACACTTCCTAAGCCTACAAATTCACTATGGCCGGATCATGTACACACTTTGGCATATTGAATGAGAATTACTTCTCTTAGAAGCTCTTTTCTCTCCACCGAAGTCACCCTAGGAAGAAACCTTTCTTCTAGTCACCTTGAGCCTTTCTCTTAGTAGATTTAGGAACTCCTAATTCTATTCGAGACTCTTGGCTCATCCTTGGTCAACATTGCTTCTCTTGTTTGCTACTCTTCCTTGGATAATCTTCAAGGATCCGCGGAGAAGTTAAAATCAAGATCATGGAGATTCAACTCATGAAGACTCCATCAAGATTCCATTTCAACAATTGGAATCTCGTAAAGAACTCGAAACTTCAATAAACATGAGAAAAAGAATTCCACTACACGCATCACTTGACTCAATACATAATTCCTTTAAATTGCATTGGTTCATATAAAAAAGTATCAGTAAATTGATAAAAATCACTCATCAAACTATACTGGTACTACTATTACTAATAATTATTAATATTATTATTATTAATTAATTAATTAATAATAATAATAAATAAATAATTACGGACATTATACAATGTCATCGCGACGAACAATGCAACAGTACACTGCAATGGAACAACGCAATTTACGAAAACCTATGAAGCACGGATACTTCAATTTGCTTCACGTATCCGTATCCGATACGTATCCGACACGATACTCTTGGATACTTCACCGATACGTGTCAATGAAGTATCCTAGCCTTTAAAAATATTATAAAAATTTTATTCAATTTTGATACTTTCATATACTTCACCGATACTTATTAGTGATATATATCAATAAAGTGTTCAAATTTTTGAAAAATTATGAAATATCCATTACAGCTAAATAAGATATATAAACATGTTTAATATAGAAACATAAAACTATTGGTCCTTGATGAACACGTATCTTACAAGTATCGTATCCTATATATTTTTAAATAATCGTATCGCCGTCGTATCCGATATGCGTATCGTATCGGTGCATCATAGACGAAAACAAACGATTATACAAAGCTTTTACAAAGCTTCTACATAAGAACATTAACAAAAAGCACGTTCATCATGGCATTAAACTGTAGCAACCGAAACGCACAGGCAAATCAACATCACAGAAAGAGACAGCTCAAACGAAAACGAAAAAAAAAATCCAAAAGAGCACACTGGAGTTACCCGCGGCGGCGCAGACGAAACCGTGGCAGACGTCGACGGGTGAAACGGCGAATCACATTTCCTCCGGCACGCGCTCTCCATCTCTCAGAATCGCTAGCATTCCCCAAAAGCAGCGAAGAATTGCAACAGCGATAGTGGAGGAAATGAGAACCCTAAGGAGTGTAGTGAGAGGAGTGGGAACAGTGAATAGCACCTGAGGGTGAGGAGAGAGTGTGGATAAAAGAGGGTAAGGGTGGAGCGACACTGACAACAAACTGACACAAAAGTTGATGTCTGGAGATTTTGGAGCGTTGATTTATCTGGTGTTTGAGCCAGGAGCGATGGCGAGCCGTTGATTGTGAATACAGCTGGTTCGCTCAGTTTGGGAAAGTGAATGACGTGTGGTCAAGTTGCGTGGCAAGGCAATGCCTCTGACACACAGTGGAGGGGCAGTTTGGTTTCACCAATGAAACCTTGCAACGTGCCTCTTTAAGAGTACTTGTTTTAAGTTTTTACCTAAGTCAAAATACTATATAAATTGGCTGATTGAATAATTTGGGGTACTTTTCCGAATTATTTATATAAATTGGGTTGTTATGAAATTATATATACTTTTAGGGCATTTTATTATGGTGTCGTGTTATTATGGGTTATAGTGATACCATTGACATGTGGATTTTTTTAACTCCAAAAAAGTCATATTAACAATATCGCTACAGTCTATGATGACACAAAATAGCTTAAATGAAGTCGTTATAACCTACAGCGCCACATTTTTAATATAAAATAAAATACCAAAAAAACAAATAGTTAAATAATTAAAAAAAATGAAAAAGGATGTCGTTATAGCCTATAGCGACATTATGTCGCTATAGACCATAGCGCCACTTATTTTAATATTTGAATACATTAAAAAAAAACTGAAAGAAATAATTTAAATATATAAAATAAAATATATAAATAAATAAATTACAGAAAAGATAAATATATAAAACAGAATTATAAATTTATATTTATATTAAACTCATAATATAAAATAAAATTACAAATTAAGAAATTAAGTAAAAAAATTATTAAAAAAATGAAAAAAAATAAGGTCATTATAACCTATAGCGACATTGTGTCGCTATAGACCATGGCGCCACTTAATTAAATATTTAAATACATAAAAAGAAAAAAATAAACTCAACAATAAATATATAAAATAAAATATATAAATAGAGAAATTACAGAAAAGATAAATATAGAAACAACTTTTTTTATTTTGTTTGTTTAGTTAATTTGATATTTGATATTTTTTCTTTTATTTTTTCCTTTTGCAGATTTATTTTAATTAATTGAAGGAAAAAAATAAAAAAAAATGCAGAAAAAAAATTATTTAAAAAAAACGCACACGAAAATATAAAACTGAGGAAAGAAATATAAATAAAAACCGCACAAAAAAAAGTGAAAGGAAAAAGGTAAAAAAACACAAAAAAAAATAAATTACAAAATTAATTAAAAAAACAAGTACAATAAATCTGGAGGAAAAAAAATGACCTAATAATCCAAAAAAAATGAAAATTTTGAAGAAAAAAAAAACTGATGTTGCTATAGGCCATAACGACCTTATTTTTTATTTTATTTTTTTTTCGTTTCTTTTGTCTACTTAAAGTCGTTATGCGCTATAGCGACAAAAAGTCGTTATGGCCCATAACTACCTCAGTTTTTTTTTTCAAAATTTTTGTTTTTTTTTTTGTTATTGGGTCATTTTTTCTCCAGATTTATTTTCCAGTATTTTTAAAAAAAAGTTATTTTGTAATTCATTATTTTTGTGTTTTTCTATATTTTTTCCCTTTACTTTGTGCATTTTTTATTTATATTTCTTTTCTCAGTTTTATTTTTTTGCGTGCATTTTTTTAAATAATTTTTTTTGTGTGTTTTTTTATTTTTTTCCTTCAGTTAATTAAAATAAATCTGCAAAAGGAAAAAACAAAATAATTTTTTTTGTGTGCGTTTTTTTTAAATGATTTTTTTAAATATATAAATAAAGAAATCACAGAAAAATAAAATAAAATTTAAATATTTATAAAATAAAAAATAAACAAAAAAGGTATCGCTGCTCATAACGACACCTATTTTTCCTTTTTTTATTTTTTTTAATTACTTTTATTTTGCCCTGTTTTTTCTAAATTAACATATAAAAAAATTATTAATAGACTTAAACAATAAATTTTCTTTAAACTACACAATTAATTATTTTTAATTAAATTTGTAAACAAATTACTGAAAATATAAATTTAATTATATTAAATAAAATACTAAAAATATAAATTTAATTAAATTTATTTATTTTTGTACTTATTTAACTAAAAATATAAAAAAAAAAGTTTTTAAAATAAAATTTTAATATTTACAAAATAAATAATATACAAAAATGGTGTCACTGTCCATAGCGACACCTATTTTTCCATTTTTTTCTTTTTATTTTAATTACTTATTTTTTTCCCAGTTTTTTTTTAAATTAACATATACAAATATAATTTTAATTAAATTTTTTAATTTGTGTAGTTTTAATTAAAAATATAAAAATGAAAAATTTTAAAATAAATCGTAAATATTTGCAAAAAAAAAATATACAAAAGGCTTGTCGCTATGGCCCATAGCGACACCAAGTCACTATGGCCCATAGCGCCTCTTTTAAAAAAATCATATAATTTAATTTTAAAATATGTTTTTAAAAAACAATTTTATTTTTACAAATATAAAATAAATATTTCAACTTTTTATTTTTATTTTATATTTCTATTATTTTTTTTTTTATCTTTTCCTACACAGTGTCGCTATGGGCCACATTACTTTTGGTAGTCCATCAAATATGGTGACCGAGCCTATAGCGACTTTAGGGCAGATGATAAACACACCTCCACTCTCATATAAACACACCTCCTTTTTTAAAAAAAAATATATAAAATGTATAAATTATCCTTAAAATAAAATAAAATTCTTAAATTTACACCCCCACCCCCGCACCCCACACCCCCTTCTCCGCACACTCACACCCCCCTTCCCCGCACCCTCACACCCCCCTTCCACCAGATTCCCGGCGAATGCGGTGGCACCTCGCCATGTACAAGGTATGCTGGAGCAGCGGCTGCTTCGACTCCGACATCCTCGCCGCGTTTGATGTCGCTGTCGCAGACGGCATCGACGTGGCGTCATTGAGCGTCGGCGGCATGGTGGTTCCCTACCACCTTGATGTGATTGCTATTGGCGCCTTCGGCGCGCCCTCTAACGGCGTTTTTGTCTCCGCCTCCGCCAGAAACGGTTGCCCCGGCGGGCTTACGGTGACCAATGTGGTGCCGTGGGTGACCACTGTCGGCGCCGGGACCATGGATAGGGATTTTCTGGCGGATGTGAAGCTTGGAAATGGTAAAATTGTACCTGGGGTTGGCATCTACGATGGACCGGGTTTAACTCCGAGTCGAATGTACCCAATCGTGTATGTTGGTGTAGAACAATTTGGTGGTGGTGATGGTTATTCATCTTGAACGCGGGGGCGACGTACCAGTGGCTTATGGACAAGGTTTTGGCAGATCAGCTAGGAAGAAATGTGGAGGCATACGTAGACGACATGGTGGTCAAGTCGGCTAGTGTTGCTCGGAATTTCTCTGACTTGCAAGAATCATTCGACACTCTAGCGCGTTACCAGCTCAAGTTAAATCCCGCAAAGTGCTCTTTCGGCGTCCAAGCAGGGAAATTTCGTGGTTTCTTATTGACTCATCATGGTATTGAAGCGAATCCTGATAAGTGCTCCGCGATAATCAATATGAGAAGCCTGACGATAGTGAAAGAGGTCCAACAGCTGGCGGGGAGGATGGCCTCCCTTTCTCGTTTCCTTTCGAATGCAGCAGATAAATCGTTACCCTTATTCCAATGTTTAAGGAAGAACAATCGCTTTTCATGGGCAGACGAGTGTGAAAGTGCGTTCGGCGAACTCAAGAAGACCCTCACCTCACCGCCGATCCTCACCAAACCGCTAACTAATTCTCCTTTGTTGGTGTACTTGTCGGAATAATTGTGTCCCGTTATCTGATACAAGCACTTGAGGAACACCATATCTGCATATCACATTCTTCCACAGAAATGTCCTTACCTTCTCTACCAAAATGATTGTTACTGGCTCCGCCTCGATCCATTTGCTGAAGTAGTCTACAGCCACTATCAAGAACTTCAACTATCTTACTGCAATCGGAAATGGACCGAGGATATCAATACCCCACTTGTTGAATGGCCAAGGAGACAAGATTGAATGAAGTCGTTCAGCTGGGGAATGGTGTAAGGTTGCGTGTCTTTGACATCCGTCACACTTTTGGACCCAATTGACGCAGTCGTTTCTCAAAGTCGGCCAAAAGTACCCTGCCCGCGTGACTTTTTATACTAGAGCTTGTCCTCCAATATGACTCCCACACATGCCGCCATGCACTTCGTCCATCACTCTCTGCGCTTGTGACGTGGTCAAACATTTCAAAAGGGGAGTGCTGAAACCCCTTCGATACAACCTTTCATTGATGACTACAAACCTGGATGACTCCCTTTGTACCAATGACGCCTCCCTTTTGTCCTCTAGCAACTCCCCCCGTGTCAGGTATGCAATATATGGTCCCATCCACGAATCGAGTTCTTCTTGGATGAAGAGAACACTCTCTTGTGGCTCGTTGATACTCGGCTGAGCTAGCGTTTCTTGGATAACTGACCGAGTGGCCCTTGGCTTCTTTGTGCTTGCTAACTTAGAGAGGAGATCAGCTCACGAATTCTGCTCCCTAGGGACATGGTTCAGTGAGAACTTGGTGAAGTCGGCCGACATGACCTTTACTTTTTCCAGGTACTTCGCTAGTTGGGGATCTTTTGCCTGGAAAGTTCCTGCCACTTGCCCCGTCACAAGTTGTGAGTCACTCCTAGCCGATAGGTTTATTGCACCCATTTCCTTTGTCAGGGTCATCCCTGCCAACAGTGCTTCATACTCTGCCTGATTATTGCTAGCCTGAAACTCGAATCGTAGCGACTGTTCCAAGAGTATGCCTCCGGGACCTTCGAGGATGATCCCGGCCCCGCTGCCGCCCAAGTTCGAGGCTCCGTCGACAGACAGGATCCATTCACTTTCTCCAGAGAAATCCTCTTCGGCAGGTGAGGTCAATTCTACTAGGAAGTCGGCCAACGCTTGAGCTTTGATGGCTCCCCTCGACTCGTATCTGATCACGAATTCTGATAACTCGATTGACCACTTCATCATCCTTCCAGCCAGGTCAGGCTTTTGCAAAACCTGCCTGATCAGGTAGTCCGTCCGAATTATTATTTCATAGCTTTGAAAATAGTGCCTGAGCTTTCTTGCCGTTACCAATATGGTGAACGCCAACTTCTCAATCTTCTGATAACGAACCTTTGCCCCTTGCAACACCCTGCTGACAAAATAAACAGGCATTTGAGAGTTACCTTTTTCTTGAACCAAAACCGCGCTGACGGCACTGTCAGATTCCGACAAGTACACCAACAAAGGAGAATTAGTTAGCGGTTTGGTGCTTGTATTATTGATCTTTGAATTCTAGCTTACCCTTTTGTTTTCCATGTGGTGGAACTGCGATGATCATACTTGGTATGGGAGCAGGTCAGGGATAGCTTGGGAGTAGAGATGATCGTTGTGAGACGAGGAGCTGAGTCTCGTGTTTTGAGTTACCATTCTGGGTAACATTTTTTTTGTCAGTGCTTGACCAGCACTAAGGAATATTTTGGGATGACTGTACATATATGGTGCTATATTTTATATACAGAAACTTAATTATTTCGATCTTTATATTTATGCATGTATGTATGTGTTATCCAGTTTAATATTCTCTTAGTTAACTAGTTGTAGTGCGATTTCACTAAGTGTAGAGACCGTGGCGGGTCGTTACAACTTATATAATTAACTTTATCTTAATGTTATCATTTTTTAATTTTAATACACTATGTCTCTTTATCAATGTAATATGAATTTTAATGTTATGCATTTTTACTTTTAATGCACTATGTCGCTTATAAACTATTATAATTATACATTATTTGGACATGTCTTCCTAGCGTGATGTGCAGGTTATCTAGGCTTGTCATTATTAGCTAATAATCTTCATGTCGGAGCTTGCATTGTAGTAGTCGTGGCACAGATTGGAAATAGATGGAATTGGTCATGTACCATTCCATGTATTCTCGTGTGTGAAATAATGGGTCTTGCATTGGATGACCCATCAATGTGTGCTCACGTCTATTGTTTTATATGTCGATCCATCAAAAGTGGCCAGAATAGCCCGTTCTGGTCCCACTGTTCATGTGTTAATTTTGAAAATGGAACGGCCCGTTCTGATCCATTCGTCATGTGTTATTTTTACATATGGAACGAGCCGTTCTGATATTAGAACGGTCCGTTCTGAACGTGAACAGTAAACAGTGCTAGTGGTGTAAATAAATTTGTACAGTTACTATTTGGGTAAGTTTTTTTTAAAAAAGTATTATTTCAGTAAAATTCTAAATTCTCCATATTAATAATATAAATATCAAAAATATAAAATATCATTTTTTATTTTAAATAACTTAATCAACTTTTAATTCTAATTATAAAACTCATTTTTAATAAGTGTATAGTATAAGTCAATATCAACGATAAAGATAATTGAGTTTATTCTACAAATACAATTGTCATTTTATATATTATTAAATTTAATTATAATTACTAGTGTAACATCTCGTCAATGCAACATAATCGTGTAATTAGTTATAAGCAAAATTATGGGGAAAAAACCAACAAGAAGGAACGGTATGTGAAAAATCACACTTGCTAATTAGGCTGATTTGTTAGACATAATTTTAAATTTTGAAATTGAGTTACAGTGACCTTAAATCTTTCTCACCCATTTTTTGCTCTTTTTTTTTTACTTATGTTCTTAGATTGAGTCAAAGTTTGTTTTGTTACTCTCTTAATAATAAGAGACATTATTGCATGATAAACTAATTTATATACCAATCCTAAAAAATAAGAGTGTTGTATGATGTACAAAAGGTCAACACTATAAATTGTTTAGAGGTTTTAGTCTAAATATTTTCACAAAAAGTTAATACCCATCCGTCAATATGGAGAGTTAAAAAGTGAAAGTATCTTGTGTATTTTATCATTGAAGTCTACTTTAGAGAAAACAAAAGTTAGAGGTCAATTATCCTATTTATAGTTATAGTTATATATTTATTTGATATTGTTTTGATATGCGAGATTATCTCTAGAGAATTTTAATTGTGATTTAGTGAATATAACCTCCCTTCCAAGCTTTAGAATCTCCTCTTATATTTCTAGTTGTGCTTGGGGTCAAAATCCCTTACTTTTTGCCCTCAAATATGTAGGTGATACAATACATTTATTATCCTCAATAGTTCCACAAATTTTGCGGCATCTTCATAACACATGTTGTGGGCGTGTCCTTTAAATGTCAAGACACAACGCTGAATGTAGAATTCTTTATTGACTCGATTTAGCAATGTGACGAAGAGCGTAGTTGTGCCAAGTCACAACACTACCATAGAATTCTCGATTGACTCTTGGGTTGACAGTGTGATGATCCTAACAATACACGACCCCTCAGGCTCAAGTGCATAAACACGAAGAACCTAGTCATGTTGAGTCACAACATTAACCATAGAATTCTCAATCTATCATTAAGTCTATGATGTGTTAACATGAACGGTACATAGTCCTTCAAACTCAAGTGTGTAAGCGCATAGGGTTACATGATAAAGGATTTTGTGATGAGCCATTATGGATGGGAATTTGACGAACCTGAGCGAGTGACCTGTGTAGTACAAGTGTGTTGGTACGAAGTTTGGTTACGAGGGATTTCCCTTATTCTCAAACTAGTATTTAGAAAAAGAGTAAATATAATAGATGATAATTTGTTTTTATAGTTTGTTACATTAATAAAAAAACATATTATCATTTTAAAAAAAATATTATCCTAACATAAAATAATTGTCATCTATTAGTAAATGATGGTGATTTTATAGAAATAATGAGTATACATGTATTATGAATAAAAATAAAGCTAATAGGATTATAAATGTTGCAAGAAGTAACGTATGTATCGTTCATTCATTTTTCCTCCTGTTCTCGTTCTCTTTCTTTTTTGCATTCTTCCTTGAAATCAAAGTTTCTAATATTTAATATCCACAATTAAAAAATTTATGTGAAGCGATAATATCTTCAACATAACAGTATAATCTCTCATGCTATTTAGAGTAACAGAATCAACAAAAGCAATAACAATAAATATTCTTTGAAAATTATGGTCAATGTAATTCAAAGGAGTAACTTTCGATAATCCTATATTTAACAAAACCTAATCTGTATCAAATGCATGGTATCAATTTAATAGTTAGTGACTTTTTACTTAAGCATCAAAAACATATTTCATCTAGTCTTTAAATACAAACTAACCTCTTGAATTGATAAAATGAACAACATAACAACAACAGT